CATAACCCATGCACACAGACAATAGGGTGGTGAAAGCCTGGGGTGGGGCAGGCTAGAAGGGGTCAATGGGGGAAAATGGGGGACATATGTAATAGTTACAATAAAGATTTTTTAAACATATATTTTATTGATATTTTACAGAGAGGAAGGGAGAGGAATAGAGAGCTAGAAACATCGATGAGAGAGAAACATCAATCAGCTGCCTCCTGCACACTCCCCACTGGGTATGTGCCCGCAACCAAGGTACATGCCCTTGACTGGAATCGAACCTGGGACCCTTGAGTCCACAGGCCAATGCTCTATCCACTGAGCCAAACCGGTTAGGGCCAACCAAGAACTTGTATGCATATATGCATAACCCATGCACACAGACAATAGGGTGGTGAAAGCCTGGGGTGGGGGCAGGCTAGAAGGGGTCAATGGGGGGAAATGGGGGACATATGTAATAGTTACAACAATAAATTTTTTTAAAAAAAGAACTTGCACTTATAGTGTAAAAACAAAAAATCTGTTTTTATTGAATTCAGAGAGGAAAGGAGAGGGAGAGAGAGATAGAAACATCAATGATGAAAGAGAATAATTGATCGGTTGCCTCCTGCATGCCCCCACACTGGGGATCAAGCCTGCAACCCGGGCATGTGCCCTGACTGGGAATCGAACCGTGACCTTCTGCTTCATAGGTCAATGCTCAACCACTGAGCCATGCCGGCCGGGCAACACGTTTATTCTTAATATAAATTTGTTAGTATTTATAAGTTGAATAATAATATCGATATCTTTATTAACAGTGCTTTGCATATTTATATTGATGATGATTATTATTACAGGAATGATTTTTACAACTAAACGTCTGGTGATTTGTTACCTTTTATTTAATTTTTATGTCTTTGTAAATGTTTTGAATTGGTAATATAAACTAAAAATTTCAAACAGTGTTACAGGGCACAGGATGAAAAGTTTGACACCCTCTCACCTATCCTCCTGCCCCCCGCTCAGTTCCCCTCCGAGGTTAACCGCTGTGACGGGTGTCTTGTGCCTTCTCCCAGAGAGGCAAATGTGTGTGTATTTATACAGCCCTTATAAATACACCCAGAAGTTCAGGCAAACAATGCAAACTGTTCTACATTGAGCTTTTTTCAAGTTAACACGTTGAAGACAATTTCACTCAGTACAAACAAGGCTACTCCATTTTAATTTTGTAATAGGCATTAATGGGTCCATTTTTTCAATATATTTTTTTATATTGCATCAATGACGAGAGAGAATCATTGATGGGCTGCCTCCTGCACGCCCCCTACTGGGGATCGAGCCCGCAACCCAGGCCCTTGACAGAAATCGATCCTGGGACCCTTCAGTCTGCAGGCTGATGCTCTATCCACTGAGCCAAACCGGTTAGGGCTTAATGGGTCCATTTTAATTTCCTTTTTCATCATTTTGCTTTTCAATACCCTTTATGAAGGTATCAAGCAGTTTAGTTTTTTTTTTTGGTTCATTAATTTCAGCTTTATTGACCTAAAAAATTATAAGGTATTTAAAGCACACATCATAGTGATTTGATATACGTATACATTCTGAAAGAGTTCTCCCATTGATTTCATTAATACATCCATCACCTCACTTATTTATCTGTTTTTGTGAGGTGTTGTGTGTGTGTGTGTGTGTGTGAACATTTAAGTTCTACTCTCAGCACATTTCAATATCATACAATATTATCAACTATAGTCACCATGTTTCACATTCGATTCTCAGACCTTATTTCATCTTATTGCTGAAAGTTCGTAGCCTTTACCAACCTCTCCCCATTTCCCTCACCCCAGCCCCTGGCAACCACTTTCCTACTCTCTGTTTCTATGAGTTTGACTTCCTTTTTTTAGATTCCATATACAAGTGATACCATGCACTATTTGTCTTTCCCTGTGATTTTTTTCACTTGGCATAATGCCCTCAAGGTCCACTCATGTTGTTGCAAATGACAGGACTCCTACTTTTAAGGCTAGATAATATTCCATTATATATATTTTATATATATGAAATTATAAATGGAACATTATATATATGAAAAATATATATCACTTTTTCCTCTTTTTTGTTGTTGTTGTTGTTAATCCTCACCTGAGGATATTTTTCCATTGATTTTTAGGGAGAGTGGAAGAGAGAAGGAAAGACTGAGAGAAACATTGATGTAAGAGAAACACATCGATTGGTTGCCTCCTGCATGAGCCCCGACCAGGGCCTGGGCCGGGGAGGAGCCTACAACCAAGGTAAATGCCCTTGACTGAATCAAACCTGGGACCCTTTGGTCCGCAGGCCAATGCTCTATCCACTGAGCCAAACCGGCCAGGGCTCACATTTTCTTTATCCAGCCATCCACTGATGTCTTGGCTATTGTGAATAATGCTGCAATACACATGGGAGTGGAGATACCCTTTTTCATAATATTGTTGTTGTTTTTTGAAGCATCTACCTTCTCCCTTCTTTTTATTGCACTGTCTGGGTATCAAACAGTTTTAATTTTTTAAAAAATATGTTTTTTTTAATGTATTTTTTAGAGAGAGGAAGGGATAGGGAGAAAGGAGAGGGAGAAAGGAGAGAGAGAAACATACATGAGAGAGAAACAATTAGTGCGGAGGTGAAATACTAAGGTGCAGAGGTGCGTTCGAAGTGGGCTGGCAGCTGAGGGCGCGGTTGTCGTTTTCAATCGGGAGGGAGTCTCAGGCTCTGAGCTCCAGTTCCGGGCGAGTCTCTAGGGACCCAGACTCATACGGGAGAAGCGGGACTGTCTGGCATCGGTCAGAACCCTAGGGCAGCTTTCTCTCCGAGGGGCTTGCAGCGATTACCGGGACACTGAGAAGCAGAGTCTCTGAGGGCAAGACTGAGAGCAGCCATAACTGCTAGCCCCGCCCTGTGGATCTCGTGGGACCCGCCCCACCCAAGCCCTGCAGGGAGACTTTTGCTGGATAGCCTCAGGCAAAGGCTAGATTAGCACCTCCCTAGAGATCCAGGAGCCAGGAAGCCCAGAGGTCAGAGTGGGACCATCCAGTTTGCAGCTCCGTGGAACCATAAAAGACACACTCAGGGGGCAGACTCAGTGAGCACCAAAGCCCCATCGAAGCAAGTCTTGCCCCAGAGGGGTGTCTCCAGCACAGAAGTTCTCCCACTGCAGACACAGCTGATTCTCACAGCCAATTGGCCTGGAGGTCAATTCCTCCCAGTGATAACTACAACAATCAAGGCTTAATTACAAGACTGTGCACAAAGCCCACAAGGGGGTGCACCAAGAGTGTCTACCTCAGGTAATTGGGACACTTAGCACAGATAGGCACTCTATCGACACAGCGAAGCATAAAAAATGCCGAGACAAAGAAACAGGACACAAACGACAGAATTGGAGGAAAGCGAACTGCTGGATATAGAGTTCAAAACCACACTTTTAAGGTCTTTAAAGAACTGTCTAGAAGCCGCCGATAAATGTAGTGAGATCTTCAAGAAGACTGGTGAGACCGCCGATAAATGTAGTGAGATCTTCAAGAAATCTAGTGAAACCCTCGATGTTGTGATAAAGAACCAACTAGAAATTAAGCATACACTGACTGAAATAAAGAATATTATACAGACTCCCAACAGCAGACCAGAGGATCGCAAAAATCAAGTCAAAGATTTAAAATGCGAAGAAGCAAAAAACACCCAACTGGTAAAGCAAAATGAAAAAAGAATAAAAAAAATACAAAGATAGTGTAAGGAGCCTCTGGGACAGTTTCAAGCGTACCAACATCCGAATTATAGGGGTGCCAGAAGAAAAGAGAGAGCAAGATATTGAAAACCTATTTGAAGAAATAATGACAGAAAACTTCCCCTACCTGGTGAAAGGAATAGACTTCCAAGTCCAGGAAGCGCATAGAACTCCAAACAAAAGGAATCCAAAGAGGACCACACCAAGACACATCATAATTAAAATGCCAAGAGCAAAAGACAAAGAGAGAATCCTAAAAGCAGCAAGAGAAAGAAAATCAGTTACCTACAAGGGAGTACCCATACGACTGTCAGCTGATTTCTCAACAGAAACTTTGCAGGCCAGAAGGGAGTGGCAAGAAATATTCAAATTGATGAATGCCAGAACCTACACACCAAGACTACTTTATCCAGCAAAGCTATCATTCAGAGTGAAGGCCAGATAAAGAGCTTCACAGATAAGAAAAAGCTAAAGCGCCGAAAACCAGTTTAGCTCAGTGGATAGAGCGTCGGCCTGCGGGCTGAAGGGTCCCGGGTTCGATTCCGGTCAAGGTGCATGTACGTTGGTTGCGGGCACATCCCCAGTGGGAGATGTGCAGGAGGCAGCTGGTCGATGTTTCTCTCTCATCGATGTTTCTAACTCTCTATCCCTCTCCCTTCCTCTCTGTAAAAAATCAATAAAATATATTTAAAAAAAAGAAAAGAAAAAGAAAAAGCTAAAGGAGTTCATCACCACCAAACCAGTATTATATGAAATGCTGAAAGGTATCCTTTAAGAAGAGGAAGAAGAAGAAAAAGGTAAAGATACAAATTATGAACAACAAATACACATCTATCAACAAGTGAATCTAAAAATCAAGTGAATAAATAATCTGATGAACAGTATGAACTGGTGATTGTAATAGAATCAGGGACATAGAAAGGGAATGGACTGACTATTCTGGGGCGGGGGGAGGGATGTGGGGGGGAGGGAAGAGATTGGACAATAATCGTGCACCTATAGATTAGGACAGTGGGTGGGGAGTGAGGGCGGTGGGTGGGGTGGGAACTGGGTGGAGGGGAGTTACGGTGGGAAAAAAAGAGTAACTAATGTAATAATCTGAACAATAAAGATTTAATTTAAAAAAAAATTGGCTGACTCCTGCACTCCCTCTACTGGGGATCAAGCCTGAAACCCAGTGCCTGTGCCCTGACAGGGAATCTAACCAGCAACTTCTTGGTGCATAGGATAATGCTCAACCAACTGAGCCACACCAGCTGGGCAAGCAGGCTTAATTTTTAATTTAATTTATTGTTGGAATATTTAAACATGTTACAGTAATGTGCACGTTACAACAGCCAAAAGGTACAAAGGATTCATAGAGTGGAACCGCCTCCTCCCCCAGGACATTTACCAGAGGCTTCTTGCAATATTCTGGATATTCTGCACACATCAGGTAGAACATCAGCCACAAGGGGCCAGGAGTTTTGCCTGTTTTGTACCCTGATTTGTCTCTATCCTTTAGAACAGTGTCTGGCACCTACCAGATGTTTAGTGTATTTGGTAAATAAACATATAAGCAGGTTACTTATGCATGTTCACAACTAGTGCAGGCCGAATGAGGAAAAGAGGGGAAAACTCAAGAACCAGATAGAGGATGGGCCCCAGGTTGGAAGGCAGGGTACAACTTGGACCTGGCAGCGAGGGCGGGGCAGCCATGGGCAAAGGCAGGTAGGCTGTGGGTTGCGTCTTCTAGGGGACAGGAGGCAGCGCCGAATTCTGGGATCCTATCAGGGCAAAAATCAGTTCTGTATTTGGGACAGTGCGTGGCACATGGTAGGAACTTGATTATTTTTTAAATGAACACACAATAGGCCTTGGTGCCTAATTGCTGCGTTGACACACAGTAGGTGCTTCGTGGCTCCTTGTTGAGTAAAGGGGATCCCGTGCTCTCCTCCAATTCCAGGGTCCCAGGGATGGGCCAGAATAAATCTGTACTTGCAGACAGCTGTTTCAGGTTCAGGCCACCTGGCCAGGAGGGACATAAAGTCACGGGGCCGAGTGACGTCAAGCTCCAGCCGGTTCTCACGGGAGGGCCTGGGAGGGGCAGGGCCCCGGGGAGGGGGGGGGGGGCGCGGACAAAGGGACTGGCGCACCGCCCCCGCCGGCCTCCGCGCGCGCCGGGCAGCCAGACCACATCTGGAATTCATTGCTGCGGCCTCTCAAAAGGGGAGGAGAGGAGGGCGGGGCGAGTGGGGGGGCCAAGGAGGCGCCTCTCCTCGCCGCCCCGCTCCGTCTAGTCTCAGCCCCGCGACGCAGCCGAGACCGGGGGGAGCCCCAGCGCCAGACGAGGACGTTCCGGGGAACGCTGATGCCAAAAGCCCCTTCCCGCCAAGGGGCCGGGACCCGGGTCCCGCCTAGCCACGGGTGAGCATGCGTGGCAAGGGGGAAGGAATCAAAAGGCCGGGCTCGGTCCTTCTCGGGTCGCGGGATTCCGAGCCGTGGCGGCGGGGGTGGGGGGCCTGGCCGGGGTCGGGGGCGCGCACGCGTCGCCGTGCCCCCCGCTGCACCGGGGAGTGGTCGTCGTGCGCCCTCTCCACGACTCCGGGCGGCCCCCACGGGCTCGGCCGCGAACCCCTGACTGCGCTTACCCAGCGGCAGGAAGTTGGCTCCGAGAAGGCGGAATCCAAGCCCTTTTGACCGGAGCCTGGAGGCAGGACAGCTTGCCGGGGAGTTTGGGGAGTGCGTAGGAGGTGGGTAGGGCGCCCCTCTTGGCTAACTCCGGTTGAGCAAAAGGTGCTGCGCGCGCGGAGCCGC